CTCAACTGCTCTTGCTTGGGATGTGTCACACATATTTGGTCAGATGGTCACAGCGACTATCACTTGCACTGGATATCTTCCTTTGGGTACTCCTCCTTTTCTCCCTGTGGCTTTTCTCCATGTGGCATCTCATTCCCCACTACCATTCTGTGGCCTTTGTCCATTGAAGAGTCTGGATTTCTTAAATGGTAGCCCAAGGCTCCAAGGGAAGGAGATTGAAACGGCCAGACTTGCTGATGCCTGGGCCTGGAATTTTCAGAGCATGATTCTTTGCAGAATCTAATGTTCTAAGTAGGCAGAGAGCTGTCCATGACCAAAGGCAAAGCTCATTCTCTGCTGGAGGAATGCCAGGCCCTGACAAGGAAGAGTGGGGTTATTTTGGACCATCTTGGGGATGTGGTGCAACACTCATCTCACTCACTAAGGTGATCGTTCAGCTTGTCTAAGGCGGGACATCTACATCTTCACATTTCACAAACATCCTCAAAGGCTACACTTGGAAGGACTCTTCCCTGGAGGTTTCATAACAGATTTTACGTGTTTCAGGATTGCCTTAGAAATAATTCTAGGGGCTGGCACCATGGAATAGCAGGTTAAGCTGACACTTGTGTTGCCAGCATCCCATATGGGTTCATATCCTGACTGCTTCACTTCTGATCCATTTCCTGCTAATGCACCTAGGAAAGCAGCAAAAGATGGCCAAAGTATTTGGGCCTCTGCACCTATGTGGGAGACCTGGATGTAGTCAGCCTGGCCGGCATGGCCATTTGAGGCTAACAAACAGATGAAAGATCTCTGTCTGTCTCTCCTGACTTTGTGTGTATGTGCCTGTCTCTCTAACTGCCTTTCAAATAAATAAAATCTTTATTAAACATGTTAATTCACATTCTTCTCAGCAGCACAAGAAAATTTCTTTAGGATAAGACCATATACGAGGCCATAAAGCAAGTCTCCATAAATTCAAAAAAATCAAAATCATACTATGCGTCTTCTGTGATCACAATAGATTGAAGCTTGAAATCAGCAGCTTGGGAATTTCTAGAACATATGTAAACTCATGGAGACTGAACAACAAACTCTTAAATGAATAGTGGGGCATAGAAGAAATGAATAGAGAAATAAATTCCTAGAAATGAATGAAGATGACAACATATCATATCAAAACTTATGAATACAGCAAAAGCAGTTTTAAGACAGAAGTTTATAGCAATTAGTGCCTACATCAAGAAACAGGAAAGTCATAAAAATAAATGAGCTATCAGTGTATCTCAGGGACCTAGAAAAACAAACAAACAAATCAAATCCCAAATTCATAGGAGGAAAGAAATAATTAAAATAAAAGAAGAAATAAATAAAATTGAAACAAAAAAATTACAAAATATCAACAAAATGAAGAGCTAATTTTTTGAAAAAATAAACAAAATTGACACACCATTATCCAACTAACCAGGAAAAAAAGGGAGAAAACCCATTTTAATAAAATTAGAGATAAAAAAGGAAATGTAAAAACAGATATCACAAAAATAAAAAGAGTCATCAGGAATTACTACAGAGAGTAGTATGCCAACAAATTAGGAAACCTCGAAGAAATGGATAGATTCTGGACATGTACATTCTACCAAAATTGAATCATGAAGACATAGAACACCTAAACAGACCAATGACCAAGATGGAGATTAAATCTGTAATAAAAACTCTTCCAACAAAGAAAAGTCCAGGTCCTGGAGGCTTCACTGCTGAATTCTACCGGACATTTAAGGAAGACCTAACTCCAGTTCTTCTCAAGCTATTCAAAATAATTGAAAGGGAGGATATCCTCCCAAACTCCTTCCAGGAAGCCGGCATTACTTTAATTCCTAAACCAGAAAAAGAAACAACAGAAAAAAGAGAATTATAGACCAGTGTCTCTGATGAACATAGATGCAAAAATCCTCAACAAAATACTAGCCAGTTGAATCCAATAATACAACAGAAAGATCATTCACCTGGACCACGTGGGATTTATCCCGGGTATGCAGGGATGGTTCAACATCTGAAAATCAATAAATGTGATACATCATACATCACAGTAACAAATTGAAGAACAAAAACTATATGATTATCTCAAAATACACAGAGAAAGCATTTGATAAAATACAACATCCTTTCATGATGAAAACCTTAAGCAAATTGGGTATAGGAGAAACGTTCCTCGACATAATAAAGGCAATTTATGACATTCCGACAACCAGCATCCTGCTGAATGGATAAAAATTGGAGGCATTCCCATTAATATCCAGAACCAGACAATGATGCTCACTCTCACCATTGCTATTTAATGTAGTCTTGGAAGTTTTAACCAGAGCCATTAGGCAAGAAAAAGAAATCAAAGGGATACAAATTGGGAAGGAGGAAGTCAAACTATCCCTGTTTTCTGATGACATACTTCTATAAAGGGGACCCCAAAGACTCCACAAAGAGATATTGGAACTCATAAAAGAGTTTGGTAAAGTAACAGGATATAAAATCAAGACACAAAAATCAATAGCCTTTGTATACACAGACAATGTACCAGCTGAGAAAGAACTTCTAAGATAAATCCCATTCATAATAACTACACAAAAATTTAAATACCTTGGAATAAATTTAACCAAGGATATCCAAGATATCTATGATGAAAATTATAAAACATTAAAGAAAGAAATAGAAGAAGACATAAAAAAGTGGAAAAATCTTCCATGTTCATGGATTGGAAGAATCAATATCATCAAAATGTCCATACTACCAAAAGTAATTTATAGATTCAATGTGATCCCAATAAATATGCCAATGATAGTTCACATATCTAGAATAAATGATGCTAAAATTCATATGGAAACAAAAGAGACCCCACATAGCTAAAGCAATCTTAAACAACAAACACAAAGTTTAAGCATCACAATACCAGATCTCAAGACATACTATTATACATAATTATAATTATATTATACGTAATTATATATAATTAGGGCAATTATAATCAAAACAGCCTGGTTCTGATACAAAAACAGATGTATAGACCACTGGAACAGAATAGAAACTCCAGAAATCAATCCAAACATCTACAACCAACTTATCTTTGACAAAGGAGCAAAAATCAGTCCCTGGAGCCATGACAGTCTCTTCAACAAATGGTGCTGAGAAAACTGGATCTCTGCATGCAGAAATATGAAACAAGACTCCTACCTCACACCTTACACAAAAATCCACTCAATGTTGACCAGAGGCCTAAATCTATGATGTGACAGCATCAGACTACTAGAGAACATTGGGGAAACCCTACAAGACGTTGACATATGGAAAGACTTATTGGAAAAGACCCCAGAAGCACCGGCAATCAAAGCCAAAATTAACAAATGGGAGTTTATCAAACTGTGAAACTTCTGTGTGACAAAAGAAACATTCAGCAAAGTGAAGAGGCATCCAACAGAATGGGAGAAAATATTTGCAAACTATGCAATGATAAAAGATTAATTTTCCAGAATCTATAAAAATCTATTAAAAAAACTCAACAACTAAAAATCAAACAACCCAGTTAAAAAATGGGCAAAGGACCTGAACAGACATTTTTCAAGAAAGGAAATTTAATGGCCAACACACACATGAAAAAGATGATCAGGATTGCTAGCCATCAAGGAAATGCAAATCAAAACCATAATGAGGTTTCACCTCACCCGAGTTAGAATGATTCTCATACAGAAATCAACAAACAACAAATGCTGGCAAGGATGTGGGGAGAAGGGTACACTAATCCACTGTTGGTGGGAATGTAAACTGGTGCAGCCACCAGGAAAACAGTATGGAGATACCTCAGAAAGCTGAATGTAAACGTACCATTTGTCCCAGCCATCCAACTCCTGGGAATTTATCCAATGGAAATTAAATCAGCATTTGAAAGAGTGATCTGTACCCCCCATTTTAATTTCAGGTCAATTTATAATAGCTAAGATATGGAATTGATCAGATGTCCATAAACTGAAGGTGAGATAAAAAATATGGTATATATATACACTATGGAGTACTACACAGCAGTAAAAAAAAGAAATACTGTCCTTTGCAACAAAATGGATGCAATTGGAAACCATTATATTTAGTGAAATAAGCCAGTCACAAAAAGACAAATATCATACGGTCTTTCTGATCTGTAGTAACTAATAGAGTACCTAAAAGGTAATCCGTAGGTGCAACTGACACCTTGAGATGCGATGATTTTGAATGGCCCATGTCCTGACTGTTAAGGAACAATGTTTTTCTTGTTTGTTGGTTTTCTTTTTTCTTCATACTATTATTCAGTGAACTCTCTATTTAGTGTAGGGTCAATTTTATGAGCATAAAATTAACTGAAAACAGATCTTTGTAAAAAATCAGAATAAGAAAGGAAGGGGGAGGATGGGTGAGAAGGAGGTAGGAGGGAAGAATCTCTATGTTCCCAAATATAAATATATTAAATGCATGAAGTTTGTATTCCTAAAATAAAATAAAACACACACACACACATACACATATATACACATAAAATAAGTAAGAATGATTTTAAAATCACCATTGCTCTTGTTAAGGGCAGTGAGCATCACTGGGGCATGGAAGTCAGAGTCCCATGTGTTAAACAATGAATAAACTATTAAACAATGCAGCCTGTAGCCTCAGGAGAGAACATTAGGGTGTCTATGTGTGTGTCTGTGTTTGCAGTGGGATTGGTGCTCCGAAGAAAACAGGCACTACAGGCAGCCTGCATGGTTTGAATTCCACTAAGGGAAACTTCTTAATTTCTTTTGCTTTTATGTCCACACATACAAAATGAAGCACAATAAATCCATATGGTTCTAGTGAGGGTTAAGTCAATCAACACCCATAAAGTATTCAGATCAATGTCCGATAAATAAATAAATAAAACATTCAGTTTTATTTCTTTAGAACTGCTTGTGGCTTAGGTTGGTTTATCTTTTCTCTCTCTCCTTCTCACCTTCTCTTCCTGTCTCCAGGGAAGTGAAAAAAAGAACTGAGGAGGAGGACAGCAAATCCATCGCCAACCTGAGTGGGACCAGTTCCAAAAAGTCGGCCCAGATGAAGAATTGTTGCAGTGGTTAAAGACCAAATGGCTTTGGCCTGTGAAGTCTTCATTCCAGCTTACTAAATCTGCGTGACTTGTTTGGTTCTTTGCTGAGTGGTGCATTCTCCCGACACAGTCCTTCAAGAGGGTATAGCCTGGGAAATCAGAACCATGCTCTTGGGTCTGTCTGCAACCTTGACTCCTTTCTGTATCTCAATGAGCGATTTGGACCTTCTGGTTAAATAGACTTGTCCTGTCCTTACAGAGCCTTGAAATATCATGGGTATGTGTTTGACTGTGGTTCAAAAAATCACATGCTCAGATCAAAGCTTTAGAAGAAACTCAGTGGCCTAATCAGATTCATGTGATAGCTGACATTGTCATAACCTAGGACAATGCTCACCTAAAATGTTTGATACTAGAGCACTAGTAAAAGGGAGTTCTCATCCTAGCCTTGCTGTTAACCAGCTTTGTGATCTTGGACATGTCGCCAGCCTATGTTGGATCTGTCTCTTCATCTGCAGAGCATGCAGCTTACCCTCAAAGGCCCTGCAGGCCTTGGTGCCTCTCAGTCTCTAAAATTTCAAGCAACAGGGAAAAGAGTACAAGGACCCACAGTTCATAACGAACTCTTAGTTATTCCTGAGTTTTTTTTATTATCAGAATATTGGTCTTTCTCTCTTCTGAAATAAGAAGAGAATTTAATTGAGAAAAAAATGGAATTTTTAAGGTTCCAGTGGAAACTGAAAAATTTATTTTTATACTTATAAAGGAAATATATTTGTTGTATATTTAAAGAAGGTATTTTATAATGTTGCAAATGTATAAGGTCCACGGTTTACAAAGTGTTAAAATTCTAATGAAAACATGTAAGTACAATGCCTAGAAAAGTGGTCTCTCTTTGCTTAAAAACACACACCAGCCAGTGGTTGCCAGGAGCTGAGGAAAGAGAGGAACTGAGAGTGACAGCTAATGGGTATGTCTTGGAATTAGAACGGTAATGGTAATGATCCTGTAACTTCTTAAATGAAGTAAAGGCCACTGAATTGTATACTTCAAAAGTGTAAACTTTACAGAATGTGAATTACTCTATTTCACTTTAAAATATTAGCACTTAGAACGATTTCACATTTTGCCATCTGAAAATATCCATGCCTATTTCAAGCATTCCCCTGGTTTCAATGTGTAATCTGTCAAATAATGCAAATCCTCTAACTCCCCAGTTGCAAATGTTGTTCTCCATAAGTGTCCTGGAGGCTCACGTCCAAGACCAGATGGCTCCATCAGTTTGGTTTCTGAGGAGGGCAGTAGATAGTGATGGTGGAGTGGGAGTGTGTGCAGGAAAGACTGATGGCACGAAGCCAGGAAAGAGAGTGGCTGGGCTCAACTCAGGTTTTTATTACCAACACAAATTAACATGCAAACCATAGAATTGGTCTTTTATTTTACATGATAAGTGACTCATCATTTTCATGGCCTGGGTGGTCTTACTCTCTTTCTAGAACCTGCACTACCTCCCCAGACGTCCTCACTGAGATGTCTCTGAGAGCCAGTGACATTGTCTTTCAGTGACCTGAAGCAATCAAGTTCTTTACAAGATATTTGAACTTACATTTGTTCCTATGGATACAGCTTGCTGAAAAACTCAAATAATGAATATTATTTATTATATAAGTTAACATTTCTTTAAGTTCAATTAAAACAATTTCATACAGCAGCCTTTTTCCTTTTATGATTTTTATCATCAAACTTAAGCCTCGTTTTTTATAAATGGAAAGTGACCAAGATACATTACACATGACAATTATAAATAACCACAACATTGGCTTTTAAAAGTGTGACCTCTCCCTACTGAAATATTTTGTATTTTTATTATTGAAAAAGTTGACTTTTTTATTATTGAAAAGTTGACTCTACCCCTCAGTAACTCTGCCATGAACTCCCGTTCCCTATTTTGTTTGGTTCCAGAAAAAAAGAATAGATGTTTGACCAAAAAGAATGCCATGCTTGTAGAACATTGTCAAAATAAACATGAGAGGCCGGTGCCGCGGCTCACTAGGCTAATCCTCCGCCTTGCGGCGCCGGCACACGGGGTTCTAGTCCCGGTCGGGGCGCCGGATTCTGTCCCGGTTGCCCCTCTTCCAGGCCAGCTCTCTGCTGTGGCCCGGGAATGCAGTGGAGGATGGCCCAAGTGCTTGGGCCCTGCACCCCATGGGAGACCAGGAGAAGTACCTGGCTCCTGCCATTGGATCAGCGTGGTGCGCCGGCCGCAGCGCGCCGGCCGCAGCGGCCATTGGAGGGTGAACCAACAGAAAAGGAAGACCTTTCTCTCTGTCTCTCTCTCTCACTGTCCACTCTGCCTGTCAAAAAAATAAAAATAAAAAATAAATAAACATGAGAGTGTGGGAGACTGGCTTTATATATATACATATATACACACATATTATAAATATATTTGTGGCAAGGTGAAACAATTGCTGTCTGCCTCAGGCATCTCTTGAACCCAGGTTAGATCGGATCTGATATTTATGTGTTGCTATATGGAACACATGTTTGGGTTTTGGTGCCATTGCTCAAAACTATAATAGTATAAGGTTGTTGGTTTTTTTTTTTTTTAATATTTACTTATTTATTTGAAAGGCAGAGTTACAGAGAGGCAGAGGCAGAAAGAGGTCTTCTGTCTGCAGGTTCACTCTCCAGATGGTCGAAATGGCCTGAGCTGCACCGATCTGAAGCCAGGAGCCAGGAGCCAGGAGCCAGGAGCTTTTCTGGGTCTCCCACATGGGTGTAGAGGCTCAAGGATCTGGGCCATCTTCTACTGCTTTCCCAGGCCACAGCAGAGAGCTGGATCAGAAGTGGAGCAGCCAGGACTTGAACCAGCACCCATAAGGGATGCCGGCACTGCAGGCAGCAGCTTTACTCACTATACCACAGCCGCTGGCCTCAGTAGTCTAAGTTTTATCCTATTACCTTTATTTATTTCCTCCAAAGTGTCTCTTTATATATTTGTCTTATAATATGTAAATAAGAGTGTATCTTTAATACAGAAGTATTACCGTAGTATCCACCGCCACAGTGTACTACCAGTGCACCCAAATTGATTAGCAGATTTCATAGAGGGCTTTGATGGATAAACTAATCAATGTTAACTGCTTGAACCTGGATAAATATTTGGCCCTGAAATCCAGAATTATAGCTCTGGTTAGCAATCTTGTTTAAAGAAAAACTACTTAAAGCTCTTAGCTGCATTGCTGGGAATCATGATTATTACCCACATTTTTACATCAAAGAGGCCTCAGATTAAAGTGTGTTTTTGATAAGGACAAAAATATTTAATGCGTTTATCATAGACTTTATTTGAAGTATTTGCATATTCCTATGGAAGTAACTCACCTTGTCTCTATTTTTCCTTTGAGAGATTTTAAAATTGCAATTATACTACTCTCCATTTTTGTGTATCCTGACACATTGGATAATATTTTAATTTCATTATAGAAAATAATGTTGGATAAGGAGACATTTTTCACTGTTAACTTCAAGCCCTGTGCATTTTCATAATTTATTTTTTCATGTGCTGCTTTATATGACGTATGTGACATTTGATTATTTAATACTAGATGTGATTTGCATAAACCCAGTTGCACAGCTGTACTGCCGAAGATAAAATTGAGGTTAAAGATAAAGATTTATTTTCATATTTGACTTCAGAATGATAGTTTTTGTGGGCTTTTATTGTATGTGTATATAAGAAATTTCCTATGTATATATTAAGTAGGCCTCTGAGTATTGAATAATTGTTTTATGATTTTGATTTATATGGTTTACATTTTCGTAGTATCGGCCATATTTCGTTTATACTGTTTATTTCTCTTCAACCCATTAATAATTATACGATAAAGTATAATTTTATAGCAATGCAAATGTCTAAGGAACTACAAATATTTTATGCCTTGTAAATCCAATAAAGCATGCTTCCATTGGCCTTCGGGGTGTTTCCTTCAGCTTTACTGCAGAGATCCCTGAAGTCATTTTAATTCTAGGTTGTGTGTGCATGAAACTTGTCTTTTCAGGCCATGGCAAGCCGCTGCTAGGAGGGGAGAATGACCATGTTGTGCAGCCCTGTGGCGCAGCAGTCACCTTAGCCGACAGGGCAGCAGGTGGGCCAGCTTGCAGCATGAGAGACGCGAATAATGAGGCTCTTTGCTGGAGAATTTCAGGATGTGCTCTGGCCATCCTCGCGATTTCTGACAGATGAGGTGCTTTCTCTGACACTTACCTCCATTCCCCCACCTCCCCCACTGCCGAGCTAACCCCTCCAGCATTTTCCCTAAACCCCCAAACTTGAACGAGGCTGCCTGCTCTCACTTTTGCAGTACTCTTTAAATTTACATCATCCTTGTTGCCCTTGTACAAGTTTCATTAGACGTGTGTCCCCTGCCCATCCCTACCTTGTCTACTGCTGCTTCTCTTCTGTCGTGCAGTGTTTAGTACTGTAATACTACATTGCTGAGTAGATGAGCAGAGAATTAACTGGCTGAAAAAGGCAGGCATTGCTGAGATGTTCTATAGAAACACAAACACAGATACAAAAACCATGGAAAATAAATATAAACAGAGACACACAGACACCATAACCATGGAAAGTAGACATTTTTAGTGATATTTATGCATTTTATCTTATTTGAAAGGCAGAGCAACAGAGGCAGAATCTTCCATCCACTCCTTCACTCCTCAAATGCCTGCAACAATCAGGACTTTGGGGCCAAAGCCAGGAGCCTGGAACTGGGTCACCCACTTGGGTGGTAGGGGCCCAAGTACTGAGCCATCGCCTGCTGCCTTCCAGGATGCATTAGCAGTAAGCTGAATTGGAAGCAGGGTAACCAGGGCTCGAACCCAGGCGCTCCAGCATGGAAGCAGGTATCCAAAGCGGCAGCTTAGCTTGCTGTGCCACGACACCTGCCCCATAGGCAGCACATTTTAATCTCAGATAGGTTTGCCCACAGCCTGCCTGGATTTTATCCTGGCCTCATACCCACTGGTACAGTAAGCATTAGCAAGAGTGTGTAAACCTCTGTGAACCCTAACTTCTTCATTTGTGAAATAAGAAAAATAATAGTGGCTTTATAAAGTTGTTATGAGGATCAAATGAGTCAATGTATATAAAGGACTTGGAATAGTACCTGACACTTCAACCATTTTGATCAATTAGAAAAAAAAAGTTTTGAAACGCCATTGGTGGCAAGGGCCTCATTCAGGACTCTGGGTCCTGCCTTCAGTGAGTAACAACTCCAGAAGTTTGCCAGGTTGCCTTGCATAGAGACTGAGGCATTGAAAAAGATACCAGGGGATTCTAATTCAATCCCATCAAGGTGGCATGTACCAATGCCATCTCACTAGTCCCAGTGATCAATTTCTGTTCATAATTGATCATAATGATAGGACTAAGAACCAAAGGGATCACATAAACAAGAATAGTGTCTGCAAATACTAGCTGATAGAATAAAAAAGGGAGAGAACGATCCAACATGGGAAGTGAGATACACAGCAGACCCATAGAATGGCAGATGTCCTAAACAGCACTCTGGCCTCAGAATCAGCCCTTAAGGCATGCGGATCTGGCTGAAAAGCCCATGAGAGTATTTCAGGCATGGAAAGCCAAGACACTCTGGGGGAAAAAAAAAAACCTAAATGAAAGATCTCTGCAAGTGAGATTCCAGTGGAAAGAACGGGTCATCAAAGAAGGAGGTACCTTTCTCTGAAGGGAGGAGAGAACTTCCACTTTGACCATGGCCTTGTCTAAAAATGATCAGAGTCAGTGAACTCAGGGGGCTTCCATAGCCTTGGCAGCTCATGACAAGAGCCTAGGTTGATTACTGATGCCATAAAAAAGAGTGTCAATTTGTTAAGTCAACAACAGGAGTCACTGTGCACTTACTCCTCATGTAGGATCTTTGTCCTTAGTGTGCTGTACCTTGAGATTTAATGCTATAACTAGTACTCAAACAGTATTTTTCACTTTATGTTTCTGTGTGGGAGCAAACTGTTGAAATCTTTACTTAATGTATGCTAAACTGATCTTCTGTATATAAAGAGAAACGAAAATGAATCTTGAAGTGAATGGAAGGGGAGAGGGAGTGGGAAAGGGGAGGGTTGCGGGTGGGAGGGACGTTATGGGGGGGGAAGCCATTGTAATCCATAAGCTGTACTTTGAAAATTTATATTCATTAAATAAAAGTTAAAAAAAAAGAAAAGAAAAACTGGTAGAAAGAAAAAAAAAAAAAGGATCCTGATGTTTCAATGGACACGAAGTGGGTTTATCTTACAGGATGAGATATTGTGCAGGACAGGTTAAAAGAACAATTTAACCAAAAGTGAGAACCTGAGAGTTAGAAGGGAAAAATGTGAATGGAATAATTAGGTTCTCCATTTATTAATGGTTGGTGGAATCGAGTAGTTGAAGGTGGGTGGGAAGATGAGACACCTGGTCCAGCAGTTGAATCACTGCTTGGAATGCTGCTGTCCTATCAGAGTGCCAGGGTTGAGCCCCAGCTGCTCCACTTCCAATGCAGTTTCCTGCTAATGCACTGCAGGTGATGGTTCAAAGTACTTGGGTTTCTGCCTTTTGCATGGGAGACCTGGATTGAGTTCCTGGCTCCTGGCTTTAGCCTGGCCCAGCCTTGCTGCCTAGCTGTTGTGAATATTTGTCCATTCACTGGTTTGCTCCCAGCGACAGCTGGGCCATTGCTGGGGCTAGGCCAGGCCAAAGACAGGAGTCATGTAGTTCCCTCACATAGGTGGCAGGGGTCAAAGCACTTGGGCCAATTTTCACTGCCTTACCCTAGTGTATTAGCAGAGAGCTGGATTGGAAGTGGAAGAGCTGGGACTTCAAGCAGCACTCCAGTAAAGGATGCTGGTGTTACAAACTTCAGCTTCACCCCTGAGTGACAATGCCGATACCTAATGTTCTACCATTTGCCATTAATCTCTTCATTGTCAGTCATTCCAGAAATGGATATTTTACTCTATGTGAAATCCAAAAATTTCTTAACAGGGTATCTGAAGCTGTCTGTAGTGCTGCTCCTGCTGGCCTCCAGGTGATTAAATCAGTAGTTACTCAGACCAGCTGTGTCCGGCGCACTATTCTGCACTGCCGAAAGGCAGCCTGTCAGTGAGACTACAGCCTGGTGGAGGTCACCAGCAAAGTTGCATACAAGCAGAGAAGGTCCACATCCGCCTCCTCCCGCCTTTTTCCACCCTAAAGTTTACATTCAGGTGCAGGAAACTTCCTCAAACGTGCCATTCTGTTGCTCACCACCAACCTTTTACTCAGTAAAAATCTGCATTCTGCCTGATTCGTTGATGTCCACTCAAGTTTGCCCACCCAGCTGCACATGCTGCACAGCTCAATTTGGGCCATATCCTCCCAGCAGCTCTGCCCAAGCCCGAAGTCAGCTAGACACTCTCTTCCGTGCAGAGCTGTCCCCAGTGCCCAGCACAGCACTTCATCAGACCTGCTTGTCGTAATCAACTTATCTGTGTCTGGCATGTCACATGATCTGGCATGTCACATGAAACTTGACTGGGGGATAAGTTACCCCCACCCCAGACAAACACTTCAGGAGGCTCAACAATTCTGATCCTTCATGGTCAAGAACTTGAGTTTTCTATGACACTGACCTCTGAAACCAGAACCCCTTAGAATCATGTTTTTAAATGAATACAATAAATGGCATAGGACTATAAAGGAAGTGAATGGTGTTGAAAACTGTTTCCAAAATATTTTTTAAATTCTATGAGAATAGCAGTATTTATGCTGCTTTATTGGCATGTCAAGCTACAAGATCTGGTGATAGGTCTGATGCCCTTTGACACAGTGATGAAAGTAAACACTGTTTCAAGATATCAGAAGCAATACAATGTGAATTGTAAATGCTTGTGATTTCTGTCAGTGACATGGTCTCAGGTACAGATAATACTGTCAGAGTTTATTATCAGCATTTTATGGTAGATGCTGAATTTCAGATAGAACTCATTGAAAATAAACCCACAACTTTCCCATCTGAGTTGGAAATACAGATTTTCATCTCTATAGACCCAATGGGCCTGTGAGGCCAAGTTAAAAATCCGTACCCTGAGTGAGGAACATATTCTATGCTTAAACTGCAAACACAGTATAATGGGATGAGAATCTAATGTAGTAATCAAAATTGCAAGCTTGACTTAGCAGTATTGTCATTTTCCCCTAGCTCGGGCCTATCTCAGCCTGGAAGCTTTCTGGGGACCGTGGATGTGTCCTGCTCACCCCATTCTTGATCTGTAGCTACTGACAGAGTCTCTTGAAAGCTTTAAGTAAGAGGATCATGGTGCTAACATCATACATGCTGTTTTATACCACTGCAAGATTAATCTCTTGGATGAAAAAGAGTACACCTGGCCACCAGTCCTTGACCTTCAGATGAATTCACTGAAGGTTAAGTAAAATGTAACCCTTGCTACAATGTGTGTCAGCCTACATGCTGACTACCTGTGGCTCTGAAATTAGCCTGGTTTAATTAGACTTCCTAGAGTCACAGGCACCAACAGAGGAAGCAAGAAAAGATACAAAGCCCTCAAAATCAAAACAAAGTAGAGGCCTGTGCTGTGTCACAGCAGGTTAACACCCTGGCCTGAAGCGCCACATCCCATACGGGCATTGGTTCAAGACCCGGCTGCTCCACTTCAGCTCTCTGCTTTGGCCTGGGAAAGCAGTAGAAGATAGCCCGTCTTTGGGCCCCTGCACCCGCATGGGAGACCTGGAGGAAGCTTTTGGCTCCTGGCTTCACATTGGCGCAGCTCCAGCCATTGTGGCCAACTGAGGAGTGAACCAGCGGATGAAAGACCTCTCTCTATCTGCCTCTCCTCTCTCTGTAACTGACTTTCAAATGAATAAATCTTAAAAAAAAAAAAAGTAAAACAAATTCATCCAAATGCAAAACATCTACA